CGGACAAAGGGAACTCAGCAAAGCAGGTCCCTCTTGACAGGGCACCTCTTGGGAAAGACAGGCGTGTGTCTTTTGGAAGAGGGTGCAGAGCTGGCTCTTACAAGTCCTGGTGGTTTCAGTAAGTGGCTCTCCCTCCCTGCTCCACTGTCCCAGCTGGTGGATGGGATGTGATACCTGCTTTTGGGAAGCACTCAAGACTTATGAATGATCACAGAGGCAAAGCATCAGTGGTTGTTTTGGGGTCTGCCCTAAGCTGCTGCTTTGCCTTCTAGAAGTGATTTTTGCAGGGACATGGGTGTGTGTGTGCTCATGAGGTGCTTCTGGTGCTCCCTTTCCTTGCAAGGTGCAGTCCCACTCCTCCCACAAGTTGTGAGGCAGCCTCCTAGTAAGTGATGTGACCAGCACATCTCTCATGTAATTTTCTTCCTCCCCTGGAAAAACTGTTTATGTTCTTCAAATAAATAATAAATATCTTTAATTCTTGTCTACAGTGTGCTTGTTTTCATTACTGACAGGGAGGTCAGAATTCTTTGAGTAGGAATTGGAGAGAGAGAGACCATGAACCATCAATCCCATGGGAATTTCTTCCATGTATTTCAGACTAGGTCCTAAGAAAGTGCTTAGCACGGTCTTCTGCACAGACGTGCTTGAAACTGGTGAGAGATATTTCTGAAGTTCTGAATGAAAATGTTTTCCCAGCATCACTGGTACGCCCTGGGCATGGCTCTGCAGCTGCTCTGCAGGCACAGACAGCATTCATGAATCTGACTGCATTTGATGGGCACTCAGCAGAGAGTGTGGAGGAAAGGTTTGGAATGAACACAAATCAAAATAAAAATGCAAGTGGGGATCCCACTTGAAAGTCCGTACAAACACCTCAAAAGTAATTTTTTTTTTCCACAACCAGTGAATATTTCTGGGGTACACGTACACAGCAGGGGCTGGGCTTTAGCCCCATGCCTTATCCGAGCAGTGAGCATCTATGAGTCTGAGGGGATGTGCAGAGATCTGGGGCTCCCAGCATTCCTCCAGGGCTGGCTCTGGCACTGTCTAATGTACCTTACCTGAGCTTCTCAGTGATAGGAGTCTCCTGTTCTCTCCTCCTGGTGCTTTCCTGCCTGCCAGCTCTTGGATAACTTGCTGCCCCCCCCTTGCCACTCT